GGACTTTCTTGTCGGTGTCCCTAAACTAAGACATTTGGGTTGTGCCTCTTGTTCTGCAGATATGGAGGCAATTCTGACCTGTGCAATGGACTCTGGACACTTCTCTTCTACCTATGCACCAGAGGCTTGATCCTGCAAGATGCTGAGTGCCTCTTGATAGGTGCTGAGTGCCCTCCCTTCCCAGTGATGTCGAGGGTGCTTAGCAGGAGTGCCCGTTGCCTTGCAGTGTCTGGCTCCGGAAGACGACTTCCAAAGCTTTGTTGAACAATAAATTCTTAGGAGCAGATTAAATATGAACAGACACTGCACTGAGCTGTGATGACTTTACCGGACTCAGTAAGGCTGACAAAGAGACCTGCAGCACTCGGCTCAGGAGGGGTGGAGGTGGCAGAGATCAGTCCCAGAATGGATTCAGCAGGTGACCAATTCTCCATTCCAGATCCTGATCTCTCCCCAGTCTTAGACATTTGGGGCTAGCAGGCAGTAAGGGGGAAGGGACAAGGAGTGGTGAAGGAAGAAACCCCTTACCTCAAAACAATCCACTTTGGGATCCCCCTCCCGCCCGCCTTGGGAACCTTCCTGATGAAGGAGATGCCTGCTGAGGGATGAGGGTGGGCCTTTGTAACAGAGAACAGTTACAACGGCCCAGTTCTCAGATGGCCCCTCAGCATTACTGCAATAGACAGGATGAAGACAGGAGCTTGGAGCACACTGTGTCCACGGTGCTCCCCTCGCTGCTTTTTCCCTTTCTCCTGCCCCTGTGGGTGCTTGTGGTACAGACAGATAAGGAACTGGGCCCCACTGTGACAGGGGCTGTACAGGGTAGTAAACAGCCAGTCCCTGTTCCAAACAGCATACAGTCTAATAGTCCAGATCAGCACTGGGGGTGTGGGGGAAGGGGGAGGGAGAGTACAAACAAGCAGAGTGAACACAAGCAGCAAATGCTCACTGCACCTTGAGTGATCCAACTCACAGGACACTTGGGGCCATTTCCCCTTTTCTGCCCTTGCAAACCCTTCCTGGCAGAGGAAGGGGGTCAGGGGCCCCAACAGACCCTGCTGCACAGATGATCTGAGGTGGTGGACCAGAGTACAATTATCCTAAAGGGGGTGGAGGGTGTCACACCTATGACTTTAGTGCTAACTTGCTGTGTGATCTTGGGAAAGACACTCAACCTCTCTGTCTCAACTTCTCCATCTGGACCAATGCAGTCAGGGAGCTAGGCATGGCGTGTTAAGACAGCACATCCTCAGCACTCCCGTGCTTGACACTGCGAGCTGGAGCGGGGAGCAAGCAGCCATGCAAAGCTTCGCCTACACAGTTCTGGCTGCTCAGTGTTGGGCTCTTTCTAGTTACCTTGTAAAGGGGCTTAAGGGAGAGAAAACTCTTCCTGGAGAGAGTGGAGAGGCCACCACCCTCTGCATTTTGGATTGTACAAGTATCACAAAGGGGTTTGACACACACAGCCCTGAACATTACAAATTACAGCTCCCATCCCTTCGGCCCCGGGGCAGTTATCTGGAGACATCCTTCACTGTGCTGACTGGGCATGGGAGACACAAGCAGAAGCCACGGAATAGCCCTGCTGTCACAGTTCCTGCACTGTGTAGTCTGTGAGCTCAAACATGTAGTAACACAGAGGAGTGACTCTAAACTCAGTGTTCAATGAAATACGGGCAGCATTCCTGACAGCCACGGTTACCCCCTAGGCAAGGCTGTTTTATGAATTTTGTGCAAAATGTTACCAGGATAAGAAGAGTTTGAAACTCCAGCTAAAATGTTCGGTTTTAAGTGAACTGGAGAAAAATCACACAAAGTAGATGGATTATAAAACACATCTAATCGGTATTTCAGGTGTCTTACAGCTCCTGCTGCGCTGACTGTGCTCTTGCATAGAAATAACCTGGGAGCGAACAGCTAGAGCTGATAACATCTTTTCAATTAAATGAGATGTTACAGCTATTGCAACAAGATCAGGCCTGATCTCTTGCCAGCAGCCTGATCCATGAGAGTTGTCACGGAGCAAACCAAGACAAGGATTGGCAGAAATGGTGACAAAAGCAGCTTGCCTTGGGAGAAAGCAAGACCACCGTGCCCAAGGGTGCTCCGTCCCACAGGTGAGGATGTGTTCCAGGTCCCTCTCTGTGCACAATCCACGGAGGATATGAGTCTGTTACAGCCCCAGCTAGAGAGCCGTGGTGCAGGCTGTAGCAGCTTATGCTTTTAGCTCTGGAGGTTGGTTGCCCAATCTCTGGTGTGTCAGCCAAAGTGGAGGCCATCCCACCTGCTGACCACAATGGTAAGTGATTTGCATGGCAGCTCCCCTGCAGGAGTTCTGCAGGCACAATGCTGCGTGTTCCTAGGTGCTACGACAATATAAACAATAAAGGTATAAAACGCTCAGTGGCAGAGGGCAGTAACTAGGGGCTGATTGCTGCTGCTCTTCTCCAGGTACACAGTAGGTGGTGCCTCTCACACTTATAGCATCCCTCCCTCCCTCGTGATCAATTGCCAGGCCAGACCTTTCTTTGCTAGCAGCCCTCTGCACTGCTGATGTACAATCAGCTGGCCAGCAGTACCTGCACTCTTCTGCACCCCGCTGCTCCTGACAACCACGCTCCTGCCCACGGCCTCCTGGCTGAACTCCTGGTGACTCAGGTACAAGTCAGCCCTTGGAAGCTCTGCAGCAAGAAGACCATGCCTGGCCCTCCTGACCCCTGACAGATTCAGGCCCTGGTGCCTAGGGTTACCATCCGTCCGTATTTCCCCGGACATGTCCGGCTTTTGCGTCTCTAAATAGCCGTCCGGGAGGAATTGGTAACAAGGTTAAAATGTCCGGGGTTTTTTTCTCCCACGCCTCCCTCCCTCCCTTCCATGCAGAGTGCGGCTGCTGATTGGGCGGCTTGGCCGATTGAGCTGCTCCCATTGGCCTCCAGCAGCCAGAGCCCTCCCCTGCTCCCCCTTCCCTCTGTCTGCAGCCCTGTGTAACACACAAACCCAGGGCCGGCTCCAGGCACCAGCTTAACAAGCAGGTGCTTGGGGCGGCCAAGGGAGAGGGGCGGCACCTGCGGCAATTCGGGGGCGGCAGGTCC